CGTCAAGTATGTTTGGTGTGAAAGTTGATATCTTCATTGATGTATTCTTTACAACTTAAGTCGCCACAATAAAAACAAAAAGATAGTCTTTTTTATAAGACTCTTACACAATAAAAATAAAAAATTACAACTCTAGTCAAAACAAACACAATGGATGTTTATCAACCGCTGTTTGTACGAGATTTTTGCCTATGCCGGGCTTTATCCGTGGACCGCCTCATATCAGATCAAAGTGCAGATTTCGTTAACTCACGAAGGAGTCAAGAAACCAAAGCAATTATCTCGACAACAGCGAGATAACCACTCTTCTCGAGATCACAGCAACGGTGCGATCTCAAAGGAAGAACTGGGCTACAGATCTGTCGAACTCTCCTTCTTTATGCCGAAGAATTTACTGAGATATCTCCCACCTCTCTGAAATTCATAGCTCTTTAGTCTATAATTCAGCAGGGTTTCACCAAGGCTCGAGAATTTCAGATCTGTGCAAATGAAGGCCCTGGGGCAGTATTTATAGGCTTCAGGAGCTCTATTTTTAGATAAGAACGATCGATTTCCTCTTATCTTCAGTTATAACCACTTTACCACATTTTAGGATAGCTTCAGATCAGTTGGAACAAAATCCAGATGGTTAATGGGCAAAATAGTTTCGACACAACATTTTTAGGCTGGGAGACACCCGAAGTGTCTCGGCCTTGGCTGAGACACTTGGAGTGTCTTGGCCATGGCCGAGACAGTTAGACCGTAGTGTCTCGGCCTTGGCTGAGACACTTGGAGTGTCTTGGCCATGGCCGAGACAGTTAGACCGTCTTTGCTGTTTTACCTCTAACTCTCTCATATGACCTCCAAACGAAATGATTCAAGATGCGTTGGAAAGCCGACGAAGAGATCTACAACTTTTGTCTTAGTATTCTTTATATTCAAATCGAATCATGACCAAAATCTTCATTCTTCTATGAGACACAAACATTGTCTCGGAATTCTGAGGTAGTTTGTACTATCTTTGGTATTTTGGCTTTATCTCTCTCATACGATCTCGGAATAAGTTGATCCAAGATGCGCTGGAAATATAACGAGGAGTAATACAAATTTCTTTTGATATTCTTCATATTTGAAGATAATCATGGTTAAAACATCTCTATAGAGCTTAAGATAGTCCAACTGTCTTGGCCTTGGCCGAGATAGTGCAAGTGTCTCTCTGTTGTTTTACCTCAAACTCTCTCATATGACTTCCAAACAAAATGATTCAAGATGTGTTGGAAATATGACAAAGAGATATACATCTTTTGTCTTTTGAGATTCTTTATATTCGAATCGAATCATTGCCAAAATCTTTATTCTTCTCCGAGACATAAACACTATCTTGGAATTCCGAGGTAGTTTGTACTGTCTTTGGCATTATGGGTTCATCTCTCTCATACGATCTCAGAATGAGTTGATCCAAGATGTGTTGGAAAGCTGACGAGGAGCTCTACAGCTTTTGTCTTTTGAGGTTCTTTATATTTGAAGTGAATTATGCTTAAAACAGCTCTATAATGCCTAAGATAGTCCAACTGTCTCGGCCTTGGCCGAGACAGTGCAAGTGTCTCTCCACTGTTTTGCCTCTAACTCTCTCAGATAACCTCAGAATAAAGTTATCCAGGATGTGTTAGAAAGCTTGTAAAATGATCGACAACCTTCTATTAGCGAGACACCCATGGGATGAGTAAGACATGAGTGGCGCTTCATCCTTTACAGTCGAAACGTTACTCCCAATCGAGTTGCTTCATCATCATTTGATCGTCTCATTGACTTATACTTCTGGTCAACTTGCTTCATGCATTTGTTGATCTCAGATAATCCTCCTTGACTTGGATAATAACGTTTATCGTCTTCTCTCTGCCTCAAGTTGCGTGTAGTAACCTATAGAAAGTTTTTGACACCTACAGATACCCCCTCCAAAGTATTTTAGTCTCGTTTCTTTTATAGAAGAGCCTAAAATACTTTAGATGTGATGGACCCAACCTTCAGTCAGTGTAAAAGGACCTGTAGTTGGCTTCAATTCTTGACTTCTTCGGTTTTTAGTTTATTTAATATTTTGACGAATAGTTAAAATTCTTCCGGTACTGTATTTATCGCCTTGTCGTTGTCGAAATCTTGAATCAAAACTGGTGAGTTGGTTTTTGGTTTTAGCTCATGTCATTGAGTCGACGTTGAACTAATTATCTTCACCACGAATTCATGTCTGTATCGCGATTGAACTCCCTGGGATTATCCTTTAACCTAGAATTGATCTAGGCCGTGTTTTGGTGTTGACTTTTATCACCACACGTTGACTGTTATTGACCTAAGGCTACACGTTGACCATCATTGCAATGCGTTGACCGACGTTGACTTTTGTCAACACGCGTTGACTGGCATAACACAGTTTATACTCCTACGTTAATTAGAGTCTACATAGTTTGAGCTCTCGAGGCATTAGAGCATGGAGGTCCCAAGTATCGAGGCTACAGGACCAACTATTAAAGCTGATTCATCTGCAGGTATGGATCTTATCCTGAGGTTGTCGGATGTTCAAGTCACGGGACCATCTAACGAAGCTGGTGTGTCAGTGACTATTGCATTTATAGAAATTTTTAACAAATTATCAGCTATCAACAGGTTTGATGAGCCTTTACTGACTACCATTTGAGTTGGGCTAGTATACAGATTGTTTAAGTTTGTTCAGTATGTAACGTTGTTCTAAAAGAGTTAACTCTTTTAGTACTATGATATTAAATACGTAGACTTCGTCTTTCTCATGAGAATAGACTACCCGATAACGCGTGTTACGCGCTGACTTATCTCTTTCTAGGATTTAGGATAAAAGTCTCCAGACTTGGATTCTGGTATCTTTTTCACTTGGTAAAAGTCTAAACCGGTAACGCGTGTTAGGCGTTGACTTATCCCTACTTAGGCTTCAAGATAAAATTCCCCTTCCGTGTAAGGCATGAATTATAGTGTTGGAAAGAAGTGTCTTCTCTTAGGGCAAAGACGGACCCGATACTAGAGAGGAAGAATTTTATATTCTATCTCCAGTTGTAAAGCAAACTCAAAGTGTGATCCCTACTTCAAGAATAAAAAATTCAGATAATCCTAATTGTTGGAAGGTTTGACTACCCAATCTGAAGATGGATTTCTCATTTATCAAGAGGGGAGCTCTAATTTTGGCCCTAACTATAGAAAGGTCTGACCAAGTGAGAGGTTTGAGATGATCCTAACTGTAGCTAGGTTTGATCGCTCGATTTGAAAGTGGACCTCTCATTCATGGAAGGAATTGTGAGGAGATTCGGGTTGTGGGCCTAACTGTAGGAAGGTTTGATCGCTCGATTTGAAAGTGGACCTCTCATTCATGGAAGCAATCGAGAGGAGATTCTGGTTATAGCCCTAACTGTAGGAAGGTTTGACCAAGTGGGAATGAGAGTACAAATCACAGTGAGAGTGTTGACTTGTATAAATCACTCAGTAGGGGTTCTTGGTGTCAAGTGATAAGGACTTAACACGAAGGGTTTTGACAATTGTCAAATATTAGCAGACTAAAATTCTAAGTATTATATCTGGACTCTAACAATTAAAGTGTTGAGTACACAGACACAACATGAGTTTGAGGGGATTAAACCAGAAAGAATTTTAGTGGACCCACCGTTAATTAATTTTATCAGTGAGAGATTTTATGGTGGAAGATCGTGAATCGTCAAACACCAATGGTTTTTTTTTGTGAGGGAAGAATGATTCAACAAAGTGATCAAATATTATCTCAGCAAAAGAGTGCTTGGAAGTTGGTAAAATTGATCCCGGCAATTGGATGCGTTTCACTCTTGGAAGCACTCAGAGTCCAAGTGGGAGTTTGAGGGGATTAAACCAGAAAGAATTTTAGTGGACCCACCATTAATTAATTTGATCAGTGAGAGATTTTATGGTGAAAGATCATGAATCGTCAAACACCAGTGGGGTTTTTTTTGTAAGGAAAGATTGATCCAACAAAGTGATCAAATCTCGTCTCAGTAAAAGAGTATTTGGAAGTTGGTGAAATTGATCCTGGCGATTGGATGCGTTTCACTCTTGGAAGCACTCAGAGCCCAAGCGGGAGTTTCTTATTCATCCCCCTCCCCTTTTTTAGTGATCGGGCTATCCCTAAGAGCTCGCAAAGATACACACACACAGAGCATAAACCCCTATAAACTAAATTTTGATAACATCCTGTATCCAAAAATTTTATCTTTTACCTAGTGACACCTTTGTCATTCATCAAAGTTATTGCCTAGTCCTGTATCCAAAACCGGTAATTCGATATGTTACCCAAATCATTATTGATTTTTTGTTCGTTTGTGTTTCAGGTATTATTTCGATCACAAGTTTCTCGTTGATGTGGTTGGCAAAATATGTAATAACGTTCGTGGTGTAAACCGAGTTTGCCAAGATATTACATCAAAACCACCAAATACTATCGAATGGGAATAAATGGCGTCTATTTGACTGTTTGCGGATTTCACTGCATGGATTTGCTGAATGGCTCTTGTAGATTAAACTGGGACGATGTTCTTGAAGTCAAATCTACCGTGTACTAATCCTAATAGTATTTGTCATCTATTTATTGCTCAGATTCAGCTATAGGATGTGAAATTGAGAAATTTAACTTGTATTGTAAGAACACCCTCTATGAATTTATATAGATCTGTTTGTTTCGATTCAGCCATCCTCTGTTTGTCTTCGATCTTGTATAATTTTTCAGGTGGTTATATTTTCCATGTACTTTTAGTTAGTTTCCTCTGATAATTTTTTAGAAACTTAGAACAGACTGCATCGCTAGGCACTGATGCTGATTGTATGAGTAATTCTTCAACGGTACATGGGTCAGTTGACACATAGACAAGTAATTAAACATTGCTGGGCACTGTAATTCTATTTGTTCCGCTGCAGAAAAGCTGGCAAGGAGATAAAAAACATGCATTTCGCCAATGCTTATGGGAAAAGTCTGTTCAATCTATGTACACGATGCTGAAATTCTATTTGTTCTTACTCATCCAATAATACATTAGTACATCCTACTTAGCACAAATACAATAAAAATACCAAATACAAATTCAAGAAAAATACCAAATAAAAGAACAAATACAACAGTCTTCGACAAATCCATAATATCAATCTCAATCTTTCTCTTTTCCCGCACTTCTCCAATTGACACGTCACTTGAAACTTGCGGCATCACGCTCGACTGATTCGTCTGAACAAGCCCTGCCTTTGAACCTTCAAACTCCTCTTTATCAGTCACCCATTTGAAGAAGCCAAAATTACTCATTTTCCAATTAGCATATCCTAAAAACAATCGACCAGTGATCGTCTTAGTTCCAGATGTGGAGAGTATACCCTCCTTTCACAATGGCACATCAATCCACGACGAGTGCTTGAAGATGACTCCAGGATCCACGGCTACAGATACAGAAGTTTGCATATTCATAGAAATTGAAAAATTATAATTGGCAAAAAGAAAACACTAACATAATATTTTTTCCTTCCACAACGTCACATCAATATTTTATGCCAAACAACCCAATGTACATAAACCAAATATTTTGCAGCAGTGAGAAAAAAAATGTTTTGCCCTTTATTTACTTATGGATTTTAAATAGCCTCGATGCATATAAATGGATCAAATTTTAAGGGCATAAAAGAATCTTAAAAAAACACACAACAACTCAAAACCGAAACTGATTGGATCAATTTAGAACTAGACTTTCAATCATAATCATCCTCTGATAGTTATTCTAGTCTTCCATCATTGAAATTGTAGAAAATAAAAAGTTCCCCTTCCATCTCTAGCATTACGGAAAAAAAATTCTTAGTTTTCCCCTTAAAAACTAATATCTAAATATGTTATTATAATGAAAATCAACAAAGATAAGGGAGTAAACTTCAAACATCCAACTCACAGCTCCTGTGAAGTTATCAAGTTGCTTGCTTTGGATCACGGCTTTGCTTAGCAAGATTATATTGGATCATTAAAATTAATTGAAGGACATCATTAAAATTAATTGAAAGAGGTCCAACCTGGAGCCCGATTCGAATTTAATTAACTAAAAAATTAATTGAAGGACGAAGTTAATTAACTGATTCGAATTGAAGGTACGAAAACATTAAAAAAAGAGGAAAATTAAAAGAGGTCCAACCTGGGTTGAGGGCGGAGGAGGAGGAGGTTGAAGGCGAGACCGCGGTGGAGGAGCGCTAAAGGCGGAGGAGGAGCTCGATGGCGAGATCGTGGAGGAGGAGGAGGTTGAAGGCGAGATCACGGCGGAGGAGGGATGAAGGCGGAGGAGGAGCTCGACGACGAGAAGAGAGGGATATGAATCTGGGGAGGGAGAGGGTTTGGGTTCTGGGGAGAGAGAGGGTGAGGGTACGTGTTCTTTTATGTCTCTTGGGAATTAGGGATGAAAGAGCATATCTGACGGTGATTTATGCCAACGAAAATCCAATGGCCAGAATTCGTTTTCGCACAGTAACAGTGCGAAAAATTTTCACATCCAAAAACTTCTCTCTCTCTCTCTCTCTCTCTCTCTCTCTCTCTCTCTCTATATATATGC